AAAGAAGCGATATCTGTTATCACTGCTATTCCCTACAAAAATCGATATTTTAAGTGAAAACTTAAAAGTCCATTTTTCATGGAAACTATAAGAGATAAAGCCAAAACAAGCGAAATCTGTGATCACTTCTATTCCCTACAGAAATCGATATTTTAAGCGAAAACTTAAAAGTCTATTTTTCTTGGAAACTATAAGAGATAGAGCCAAAATAAGCGAAATCTGTGATCTTTTCTATCTCATACAAAAAATCGATATTTTAAGTGAAAACATAAAAGTCTATTTTTCTTGGAAACTATAAGATATAGAGCTAAAACAAGCGAAATCTGTGATCACTTCTATCTCATACAAAAAATCGATATTTTAAGTAAAAACATAAAAGTCCATTTTTCTTGGAAACTATAAGAGATAGAGCCAAAACAAGTGAAATATGTGATCACTTCTATCTCATACAAAAAATCTATATTTTAAGTGAAAACATAAAAGTCCATTTTTCTTGGAAACTATAAGAGATAGAGCCAAAACAATCAAAATCTGTGATCACTTCTATCTCGTACAAAAAATCGATATTTTAAGTGAAAACATAAAAGTCCATTTTTCTTGGAAACTATAAGAGATAGAGCCAAAACAAGCGAAATCTGTGATCACTTCTATTCCCTACAAAAATCGACATTTTAAGTGAAAACTTAAAAGTCCATTTTTCTTGGAAACTATAAGAGATCACTTCTATCTCATACAAAAAATCGATATTTTAAGTGAAAACATAAAAGTCCGTTTTTCTTGGAAACTATAAGAGATAGAGCCAAAAGAAGCGATATCTGTTATCACTGCTATTCCCTACAAAAATCGATATTTTAAGTGAAAACTTAAAAGTCCGTTTTTCTTGGAAACTATAAGAGATAAAGCCAAAACAAGCGAAATCTGTGATCACTTCTATTCCCTACAGAAATCGATATTTTAAGCGAAAACTTAAAAGTCCATTTTTCTTGGAAACTATAAGAGATAGAGCCAAAATAAGCGAAATCTGTGATCACTTCTATCTCATACAAAAAATCGATATTTTAAGTGAAACATAAAAGTCCATTTTTCTTGGAAACTATAAGAGATAGAGCTAAAACAAGCGAAATCTGTGATCACTTCTATCTTATACAAAAAACCGATATTTTGAGTGAAAATATAAAAGTCCATTTTTCTTGGAAACTATAAGAGATAGAGCCAAATCAAACGAAATTTGTGATCACTTCTATTCCCTACAAAAAATCGATATTTTAAGTGAAAACATAAAAGTCCATTTTTCTTGGAAACTATAAGAGATAGAGCTAAAACAAGCGAAATCTGTGATCACTTCTATCTCATACAAAAAATCGATATTTTAAGTGAAAACATAAAAGTCCATTTTTCTTGGAAACTATAAGAGATAGAGCCAAAACACGCGAAATCTGTGATCACTTCTATTCCCTACAAAAATCGATATTTTGAGTGAAAACTTAAAAGTCCATTTTTCTTGGAAACTTTAAGAGATAGAGCCAAAACACGCGAAATCTGTGATCACTTCTATCTCATACAAAAAAATTATATTTTGAGTGAAAACATAAAAGTCCATTTTTCTTGGAAACTATAAGAGATAGAGCCAAATCAAACGAAGTCTCTGATCACTTCTATCTCATACAAAAAATCGATATTTTAAGTGAAAACATAAAAGTCCATTTTTCCTGGAAACTATAAGAGATAGAGCCAAAACACGCGAAATCTGTGATCACTTCTATTCCCTACAAAAATCGATATTTTGAGTGAAAACTTAAAAGTCCATTTTTCTTGGAAACTATAAGAGATAGAGCCAAAACAAGCGAAACATAAAAGTCCATTTTTCTTGGAAACTATAAGAGATAGAGCCAAAACACGCGAAATCTGTGATCACTTCTATTCCCTACAAAAATCGATATTTTGAGTGAAAACTTAAAAGTCCATTTTTCTTGGAAACTTTAAGAGATAGAGCCAAAACACGCGAAATCTGTGATCACTTCTATCTCATACAAAAAAATTATATTTTGAGTGAAAACATAAAAGTCCATTTTTCTTGGAAACTATAAGAGATAGAGCCAAATCAAACGAAGTCTCTGATCACTTCTATCTCATACAAAAAATCGATATTTTAAGTGAAAACATAAAAGTCCATTTTTCCTGGAAACTATAAGAGATAGAGCCAAAACACGCGAAATCTGTGATCACTTCTATTCCCTACAAAAATCGATATTTTGAGTGAAAACTTAAAAGTCCATTTTTCTTGGAAACTATAAGAGATAGAGCCAAAACAAGCGAAATCTGTGATCACTTCTATCTCATACAAAAAATCGATATTTTAAGTGAAAACATAAAAGTCCATTTTTCTTGGAAACTATAAGAGATAGAGCCAAAACAAGCGAAATCTGTGATCACTTCTATCTCATACAAAAAAATTATATTTTGGGTGAAAATATAAAAGTCCATTTTTCTTGGAAACTATAAGAGATAGAGCTAAAACAAGCGAAATCTGTGATCACTTCTATCTCATACAAAAAATCGATATTTTAAGTGAAAACATAAAAGTCCATTTTTCTTGGAAACTATAAGAGATAGAGCTAAAACAAGCGAAATCTGTGATCACTTCTATCTCATACAAAAAATCGATATTTTAAGTGAAAATATAAAAGTCCATTTTTCTTGGAAACTATAAGAGATAGAGCCAAAACACGCGAAATCTGTGATCACTTCTATTCCCTACAAAAATCGATATTTTGAGTGAAAACATAAAAGTCCATTTTTCTTGGAAACTATAAGAGATAGAGCCAAAAGAAGCGATATCTGTTATCACTGCTATTCCCTACAAAAATCGATATTTTAAGTGAAAACTTAAAAGTCCATTTTTCTTGGAAACTATAAGAGATAAAGCCAAAAGAAGCGATATCTGTTATCACTGCTATTCCCTACAAAAATCGATATTTTAAGTGAAAACTTAAAAGTCCATTTTTCATGGAAACTATAAGAGATAAAGCCAAAACAAGCGAAATCTGTGATCACTTCTATTCCCTACAGAAATCGATATTTTAAGCGAAAACTTAAAAGTCCATTTTTCTTGGAAACTATAAGAGATAGAGCTAAAACAAGCGAAATCTGTGATCACTTCTATCTTATACAAAAAACCGATATTTTGAGTGAAAATATAAAAGTCCATTTTTCTTGGAAACTATAAGATATAGAGCTAAAACAAGCGAAATCTGTGATCACTTCTATCTCATACAAAAAATCGATATTTTAAGTGAAAACATTAAAGTCCATTTTTCTTGGAAACTATAAGAGATAGAGCTAAAACAAGCGAAATCTGTGATCACTTCTATCTCATACAAAAAATCGATATTTTAAGTGAAAACATAAAAGTCCATTTTTCTTGGAAACTATAAGATATAAAGCCAAAACAAGCGAAATATGTGATCACTTCTATCTCATACATAAAATCGATATTTTAAGTGAAAACATAAAAGTCCATTTTTCTTGGAAACTATAAGAGATAGAGCCAAAACAAGCGAAATCTGTGATCACTTCTATCTCATACAAAAAAATTATATTTTGAGTGAAAATATAAAAGTCCATTTTTCTTGGAAACTATAAGAGATAGAGCCAAAACAAGCGAAATCTGTGATCACTTCTATCTCATACAAAAAATCGATATTTTAAGTGAAAACATAAAAGTCCATTTTTCTTGGAAACTATAAGAGATAGAGCTAAAACAAGCGAAGTCTGTGATCACTTCTATCTCATACAAAAAATCGATATTTTAAGTGAAAACATAAAAGTCCATTTTTCCTGGAAACTATAAGAGATAGAGCCAAAACACGCGAAATCTGTGATCACTTCTATTCCCTACAAATATCGATATTTTGAGTGAAAACTTAAAAGTCCATTTTTCTTGGAAACTATAAGAGATAGAGCCAAAACAAGCGAAATCTGTGATCACTTCTATCTCATACAAAAAATCGATATTTTAAGTGAAAACATAAAAGTCCATTTTTCTTGGAAACTATAAGAGATAGAGCCAAAAGAAGCGATATCTGTTATCACTGCTATTCCCTACAAAAATCGATATTTTAAGTGAAAACTTAAAAGTCCATTTTTCTTGGAAACTATAAGAGATCACTTCTATCTCATACAAAAAATCGATATTTTAAGTGAAAAAATAAAAGTCCATTTTTCTTGGAAACTGTAAGAGATAGAGCCAAAACAAGCGAAATCTGTGATCACTTCTATTCCCTACAAAAAATCGATATTTGTAAAAGTCCATTTTTCTTGGAAACTGTAAGGGATAAAGCCAAAACAAGCGAAATCTGTGATCACTTCTATCTCATACAAAAAATCGATATTTTAAGTGAAAACATAAAAGTCCATTTTTCTTGGAAACCATAAGAGATAGAACCAAAACAAATGAAATATGTGATCACTTCTATCTATGATAAAAATAACGGACACACAAATATTTTGTCTATTTTGTATAAATTTTATTTTAGGAATGAAAATTATTTTTTCATATTTCAAAAATTAACAAACATATAAATTCAATAATGAGTTGATTATAATAAAGTATTTTCAGTAAAGTATCCAGTTCATAATAAGTATACAACACTTCCCCTGAATTATTACTTTACAATAATCATATTAATTAATAATAACTAAACCTATTTCAGAAATGCATTTGTTATGTTTTGAACTAGGTAAATATTCTATTTTAGTAGGTAGTAGGTATAGGTATAGTAGGTATATATTCTATTTTAATATTTCCGCTATTTACATTTTCACGAACAAAATGGTGTCTCATATCCATATGTTTTGTTCTATTGTGAAATATTGGGTTCTTGCTTAATAGTCCAGCTCCTTGATTGTCATTGTAAATTAGAATTGTATTTTGTTTACCCAAAATTTCTTCTAAAAATCTTTTTAAATGTATTGCTTCTTTTGTGGATTCTGAGAGCGACATGTATTCTGCTTCAGTTGTAGACATTGCTACTGTTCTTTGTTTCCTCGATTCCCAACTTATAGCAGCATTAGCTAATTTGAAGATATAACCCGTATATGATCTTCTGTCGTCTATATTAGCACCCCAGTCTGCATCGGCATAGCCAGTTAATTGTTCATTTGTTCTTCTGTAATGTAGGCCAATATTTGGAGTACCTTTCAAGTAACGTAAAACTCTTTTAGCAGCTATCCAATGTTCTTTACCGTAGTTAGTATTGTATTGGCTAAGTACACTCACTATATGAGCGATATCAGGCCTCGTTGAAACTGCTAAATACATAAGGGATCCCACCAGATTTTGATACGGTATCTTTTCAACTTCTGATTTTTCTTCTTCGGTTGCACACATTTCTTTTGATAGTTTTATTCCCGTATTAAATGGTGTTCTTGCAGGTTTACAGTCTTCCATATTAAATTTTTTCAAAATATTTTGTATATATTTACGTTGTGACATAGTTATTTCCTTAGTTTTCTCATCTTGTTTAAATTCGATTCCCAAACAAAAATTTAATTGGCCAAGGTCTTTCATTTCGAACGATTTTGATAATTCCAATTTCAGTTCCTCCCATTTTTGTTTATTATTTGTTGCTACTATTAAATCGTCCACATATATAGCCAATAATGTAATGTCTTTCTCATGTTTTAACATATAGATACAATTATCTGAATTCAATGGTTTAAATTTTAATAGTTTTAATTTTTCATCTAACTTTTTGTACCATTGTCTTCCAGATTGCTTTAGTCCATATAATGCTTTCTTTAACAAGCAGGCTTTGCCTTTATAATTAATTTTTCTTTTTCTGATAAAAATTCTTGAATTTCATTTGGTATTTTCATATAAATTTGTTCTTCAATACTACCGTTCAAGTATGCTGTTACAAAATCAAGTTGGTATACATCTAATTTCAATTCCACAGACAAGGCCATTAAAAGACGAATGGATCCAATTCTTGCAACTGGCGCAAAAGTTTCATTATAATCTATGCCTGGTATTTGAGTAAATCCTTTCGCAACTAACCTAGCTTTGTAACGTTCAACTGTACCATTGGCTTTGTACTTTTTACGTAATACCCACTTGCAATCTACAACCTTTTTATTTTCTGGGTAATTGACTATTTCCCAGGTCTTGTTTTTCATTAAAGCTTCATATTCAGATTTCATTGCCTTTTTCCATTTTTCCGCTCCTGGGCCCATAACCTATGATAAAAATAACGGACACACAAATATTTTGTCTATTTTGTATAAATTTTATTTTAGGAATGAAAATTATTTTTTCATATTTCAAAAATTAACAAACATATAAATTCAATAATGAGTTGATTATAATAAAGTATTTTCAGTAAAGTATCCAATTCATAATAAGTATACAACACTATCTCATACAAAAAATCGATATTTTAAGTAAAAACATAAAAGTCCATTTTTCTTGGAAACTATAAGAGATAGAGCCAAAACAAGCGAAATCTGTGATCACTTCTATCTCATACAAAAATCGATATTTTAAGTGAAAACATAAAAGTCCATTTTTCTTGGAAACTATAAGAGATAGAGCTAAAACAAGCGAAATCTGTGATCACTTATATCTTATACAAAAAATCGATATTTTGAGTGAAAACATAAAAGTCCGTTTTTCTTGGAAACTATAAGAGATAGAGCCAAAAGAAGCGATATCTGTTATCACTGCTATTCCCTACAAAAATCGATATTTTAAGTGAAAACTTAAAAGTCCATTTTTCTTGGAAACTATAAGAGATAAAGCCAAATCAAGCGAAATCTGTGATCACTTCTATTCCCTACAGAAATCGATATTTTAAGCGAAAACTTAAAAGTCCATTTTTCTTGGAAACTATAAGAGATAGAGCCAAAACAAGCGAAATCTGTGATCACTTCTATCTCATACAAAAAAATTATATTTTGAGTGAAAATATAAAATTCCATTTTTCTTGGAAACTATAAGAGATAGAGCCAAAACAAGCGAAATCTGTGATCACTTCTATCTCATACAAAAAAAAAATTATATTTTGAATGAAAATATAAAAGTCCATTTTTCTTGGAAACTATAAGAGATAGAGCTAAAACAAGCGAAATCTGTGATCACTTCTATCTCATACAAAAAATCGATATTTTAAGTGAAAACATAAAAGTCCATTTTTCTTGGAAACTATAAGAGATAGAGCCAAAACAAGCGAAATCTGTGATCACTTCTATCTCATACAAAAAATCGATATTTTAAGTGAAAACATAAAAGTCCATTTTTCTTGGAAATTATAAGAGATAGAGCCAAAACAAGCGAAATCTGTGATCACTTCTATCTCATACAAAAAATCGATATTTTAAGTGAAAACATAAAAGTCCGTTTTTCTTGGAAACTATAAGATATAGAGCCACAACAAGCGAAATCTGTGATCACTTCTATCTCATACAAAAAAAATTATATTTTGAGTGAAAATATAAAAGTCCATTTTTCTTGGAAACTATAAGAGATAGAGCCAAAACAAGCGAAATCTGTGATCACTTCTATCTCATACAAAAAAAATTATATTTTGAATGAAAATATAAAAGTCCATTTTTCTTGGAAACTATAAGAGATAGAGCCAAAACAAGCGAAATCTGTGATCACTTCTATCTCATACAAAAAAATTATATTTTGAGTGAAAATATAAAAGTCCATTTTTCTTGGAAACTATAAGAGATAGAGCCAAAACAAGCGAAATCTGTGATCACTTCTATCTCATACAAAAAAAAATTATATTTTGAATGAAAATATAAAAGTCCATTTTTCTTGGAAACTATAAGAGATAGAGCCAAAACAAGCGAAATCTGTGATCACTTCTATCTCATACAAAAAATCGATATTTTAAGTGAAAACATAAAAGTCCATTTTTCTTGGAAACTATAACAGATAGAGCCAAAACAAGCGAAATCTGTGATCACTTCTATCTCATACAAAAAATCGATATTTTAAGTGAAAACATAAAAGTCCATTTTTCTTGGAAACTATAAGAGATAGAGCCAAAACAAGCGAAATCTGTGATCACTTCTATCTCATACAAAAAATCGATATTTTAAGTGAAAACATAAAAGTCCGTTTTTCTTGGAAACTATAAGAGATAGAGCCAAAAGAAGCGATATCTGTTATCACTGCTATTCCCTACAAAAATCGATATTTTAAGTGAAAACTTAAAAGTCCGTTTTTCTTGGAAACTATAAGAGATAAAGCCAAAACAAGCGAAATCTGTGATCACTTCTATTCCCTACAGAAATCGATATTTTAAGCGAAAACTTAAAAGTCCATTTTTCTTGGAAACTATAAGAGATAGAGCCAAAATAAGCGAAATCTGTGATCACTTCTATCTCATACAAAAAATCGATATTTTAAGTGAAACATAAAAGTCCATTTTTCTTGGAAACTATAAGAGATAGAGCTAAAACAAGCGAAATCTGTGATCACTTCTATCTTATACAAAAAACCGATATTTTGAGTGAAAATATAAAAGTCCATTTTTCTTGGAAACTATAAGAGATAGAGCCAAATCAAACGAAATTTGTGATCACTTCTATTCCCTACAAAAAATCGATATTTTAAGTGAAAACATAAAAGTCCATTTTTCTTGGAAACTATAAGAGATAGAGCTAAAACAAGCGAAATCTGTGATCACTTCTATCTCATACAAAAAATCGATATTTTAAGTGAAAACATAAAAGTCCATTTTTCTTGGAAACTATAAGAGATAGAGCCAAAACACGCGAAATCTGTGATCACTTCTATTCCCTACAAAAATCGATATTTTGAGTGAAAACTTAAAAGTCCATTTTTCTTGGAAACTATAAGAGATAGAGCCAAAACACGCGAAATCTGTGATCACTTCTATCTCATACAAAAAAATTATATTTTGAGTGAAAACATAAAAGTCCATTTTTCTTGGAAACTATAAGAGATAGAGCCAAATCAAACGAAGTCTCTGATCACTTCTATCTCATACAAAAAATCGATATTTTAAGTGAAAACATAAAAGTCCATTTTTCCTGGAAACTATAAGAGATAGAGCCAAAACACGCGAAATCTGTGATCACTTCTATTCCCTACAAAAATCGATATTTTGAGTGAAAACTTAAAAGTCCATTTTTCTTGGAAACTATAAGAGATAGAGCCAAAACAAGCGAAATCTGTGATCACTTCTATCTCATACAAAAAATCGATATTTTAAGTGAAAACATAAAAGTCCATTTTTCTTGGAAACTATAAGAGATAGAGCCAAAACAAGCGAAATCTGTGATCACTTCTATCTCATACAAAAAAATTATATTTTGGGTGAAAATATAAAAGTCCATTTTTCTTGGAAACTATAAGAGATAGAGCTAAAACAAGCGAAATCTGTGATCACTTCTATCTCATACAAAAAATCGATATTTTAAGTGAAAACATAAAAGTCCATTTTTCTTGGAAACTATAAGAGATAGAGCTAAAACAAGCGAAATCTGTGATCACTTCTATCTCATACAAAAAATCGATATTTTAAGTGAAAATATAAAAGTCCATTTTTCTTGGAAACTATAAGAGATAGAGCCAAAACACGCGAAATCTGTGATCACTTCTATTCCCTACAAAAATCGATATTTTGAGTGAAAACATAAAAGTCCATTTTTCTTGGAAACTATAAGAGATAGAGCCAAAAGAAGCGATATCTGTTATCACTGCTATTCCCTACAAAAATCGATATTTTAAGTGAAAACTTAAAAGTCCATTTTTCTTGGAAACTATAAGAGATAAAGCCAAAGAAGCGATATCTGTTTATCACTGCTATTCCCTACAAAAATCGATATTTTAAGTGAAAACTTAAAAGTCCATTTTTCATGGAAACTATAAGAGATAAAGCCAAAACAAGCGAAATCTGTGATCACTTCTATTCCCTACAGAAATCGATATTTTAAGCGAAAACTTAAAAGTCCATTTTTCTTGGAAACTATAAGAGATAGAGCTAAAACAAGCGAAATCTGTGATCACTTCTATCTTATACAAAAAACCGATATTTTGAGTGAAAATATAAAAGTCCATTTTTCTTGGAAACTATAAGATATAGAGCTAAAACAAGCGAAATCTGTGATCACTTCTATCTCATACAAAAAATCGATATTTTAAGTGAAAACATAAAAGTCCATTTTTCTTGGAAACTATAAGAGATAGAGCTAAAACAAGCGAAATCTGTGATCAATTCTATCTCATACAAAAAATCGATATTTTAAGTGAAAACATAAAAGTCCATTTTTCTTGGAAACTATAAGAGATAGAGCCAAAACAATCAAAATCTGTGATCACTTCTATCTCATACAAAAAATCGATATTTTAAGTGAAAACATAAAAGTCCATTTTTCTTGGAAACTATAAGAGATAAAGCCAAAACAAGCGAAATCTGTGATCACTTCTACCTCATACAAAAAATCGATATTTTAAGTGAAAACATAAAAGTCCATTTTTCTTGGAAACTATAAGAGATAGAGCTAAAACAAGCGAAATCTGTGATCACTTCTATCTCATACAAAAAATCGATATTTTAAGTGAAAACATAAAAGTCCATTTTTCTTGGAAACTATAAGAGATAGAGCCAAAACAAGCGAAATCTGTGATCACTTCTATCTCATACAAAAAAA